TGTGATCAAAATCAGCTGTAGGATCAGCGGGCCTGTTTTTATCAGGAAGCTGTAAGGCCGGGGGGGGCATCGAAACTGTCGGCACGCGACCGACGGCCCGTCGTGAGAATTTTCGAACACTGTGCTAGTATTTCAGCGAGTAATATTGAGGGGACAAGTGGCGGGTCTCAAGAGGGACCGGCGCAGTGTTCGAGAGGATGTTGCCTAAGCAAAACTTGGTCGGCCTCGGCCTTCAGTCGGCACTAATTTCGAAACGCTAAAACAATAACAGACCCTAAAATAAAAAGTACATGTTTAATTTGTGGCCAATCGTTTGGGATTATGGTGTATGTACCTGGCATATGCAATATTGAAATTTCTTTTTAATTGGATTAAACAGACTGTTACTCATCATTTTAAAGATATATGATCATATGAGTATGATTAACGATGAGGGAGAGAGATGAGTAATGTCTGAGTTTTAGAGGGAGCACCGCTGTAAAAAGTAGTGCACAATGGGGAATAACAACATAGCATGAAAATACAGTAGGTCCACTCATAATTTAGACTGTGGTGGGTTTAACATTAGAAGTTAGTTTAGGGATTACAGAGCGCGAGAGAATGTTAATGCATATAATAATGGATGAGATGAATCGACAATCAGAAAGTGCGGTGTATTCAGGGGTTGCTTAAGCAGGCCTGAGCCGGTGGTCCGAAATACGTAGTCCGGAAGTAAAATTACTCCCTGATTTCACTGTCGGACTCCCCTGATTTGACAATGGTCAGGAAGTCGCGTGCGACTCCCCTGAAAATCTCCATAACCTAACTAATTGTTCTAGGGCAATAGCTCGGCAGAATTACCGTATATTTTCAGCTAAATGTCCAAGAAACATTTGGCAGACGTGGGCATACCGCATAAATGTAAAAATAAGCCACATCGCGTTTATTGTTAGTTATCTGTAATTTTGAATCCTCAGACTGCCGGACTCCTCACTTTGTTGTGGATCCCTCTTTTTGAAAGTAGGGAGTCCAAACGAAACTCCGTGTTCAAAAGTTTTATTTCTATCCCCTGCCTGAGACAGCAAGGTGGTATAAAAGGAAGAATCTGCTTACAAACACGGTCGCGACTTATACATGTTTGTACATCACATTAAATTACTCCTAATGAATGAACTGGTGTTTTTCAGCACTGAGCATGTTTTTATCAGATGAGACAGAATAGTATCGTGTAATCATCTCTATCTACCTGGACTAAGAAACAATCAGTGAAATCACTATGGAGCCTTTGTGTAGTGAATGGTTATTGTTAGAATGGAAAATAGCATATTAATGTGGCTAATAGTAATAGTATACTGTAGTGGCTTATATTGTATCTTAAGATGTATCAAACTTACAGGCACAATGTAGTACAATTTATAAACTTTTTCTTGTGTAATTCTCAAACCTGTTAAAAATACCATAAATTTGCCACCAATGTGCTGCCACCTTTAGGCAGTTTCTCCATCAATAAGTTCAAAAGACTTATACCACAGGCTATGCCAATAAGCAATGAACATAGGTGAACTTCACTAGATCTGTGAGATTGATAGCACTATCTACAAAACCTCAAGAACAAAAGCAGCATCAGTTTCTTGATAAACAGTATTTAACAATATCACATATGTGCGCCACCTC